CCTGCTCTAGTGGAAGGTGTCCCTGCCCGGGGCAGGGGGTTGGAGCTGGAGGAGCTTTAAGGTCCCTTCCAACCCAGCCCATTCCATGAGTGTAAGTAGGACTCCTTGCTTTGCAAGGTCACAGGTTGGAGTCTGTAAAGTCTCTCTGTGGAGAGCTGGCTCTATCTGACCGTCCTGGTTGTGTGGGTCACAGCACTGGAGGTGCCCAGTGTCCCAGAGGAGGTGGTTATCCATTTGTTGTGGCTTTTCAATAAGTGCTTCTGGAGAAGAGGTAACACAGCACCTATAGAAGGCAGAAATACCAGCTCTGGCTGATATCAGGTGGAATTAGAATGGTTTTCAATATATTCCTCCTTCTCCTGCATATAATGGCTGCAAGTCTTAATGGAATTGTAACTAGTAAGAGGAGCTGGCAAGAGGGATGTAAAAAATATGGCAAAACATCTGTTAAAATAAGGGAGAATTAAAGATTCCTGAAAAAAAAAATTCTTCTTGTGCATGTGCAGGAAAGGGAGCCAAGTTCTTCTTAAGCAGCTTATTGCAGGCTCCACTGCTGATAAATCAGAATGGGGAGTTTGATCAGAATGGTGACTTTTCTGCTCCATGTGGCTACTTCATGTCTATTGCTATGAATTATGGAGGCTAAACCCTGCACAAGGTATTTAGGAGACCTGAAACTCAACTGAGTTACGAAGCTTCTAGACTGGCCTTTCCCTTTGTCATTGAGGTTTCACTCTGTGAATAGTCCCAAATCTGGGGGTTTTAAACCTGCTTTGCAGGAAGGTTTAATGGGAGGTTTGACCCAGTCTGTAAATACTTCTGCTTTAGCCCATGTCCCCTGTTAAGCACTGGAACTGGAATGCTGCAGTGCAGTCTTGGGGTACTTCACACTCTTCAGTCATCCATTAGTGTCAAGAAAGGGTTTAGATCCTCTTGGTCTAGAAATATCTGTTCAGATAAACAAGGTTTGGAGTAAGTGTGATGCCCTCTGAGACACTGCCAAACCCACTCCCTTCCAGGGGTTTGGGGGTTGGGTTGGGATGGGAGGGACGTGTCTCCTCCCCACTCGAGTTCCAGATACGTGTTCTTCTCCCGGGTGCCCTGTGC